CGAAAGTAAAGTGCAGAAGAAATTTATGGAGTTTTTCGACTCCTTAAAAGAACAAACTCGATACAGTATTATTGATACGTCATCATCTAATTGGCTCAAAGATCCAATCGGAAAGATCGATGTTTCGATTGTGGATGGATCACAAGTTCTTTGGGCTCATCTTGTATCCGCGATTGAGATTAAATATTCATTATATAATACTACCCTATATCATGAGGCTGTTGGACAATTGGTGGATCGATTTCAAACAGTTTTTCAAATGCAACCTGGCCGACCATTTATTATCGGTGCTGTTTGTTGTGACAAGCTCGTAGAATTCATATATACTAATTCAGAACTTCAACTTAAGCGATCAGGCTTAATGGAACTCAATATTACAAAACCAACAGGAATACAAATGTTGTTAAATCTGATTAGTTCAAATCCACACCAACTCGGCTATTCTCCACCTGAAGATCACAAAATGTTAATCAGTACTACGGGCTTTACATACAAAAGCCTTCTTCGACGAGCGGATAATGGACGGGGAAAGCTTGTTCTCTTTGGCTCTATAAATTCAAAAAAAGCTATTTTTAAGGCTTCTAATAACCTCAATAATGAACTTAAAATGCTCGGAATACTTAAAGACTGCAAATATGTTCTCCAAGTCGTTAAAGAAGGATTTCTTTCGGATGGCAGAATGTATGTTCTGATTTTTATGTAAAATTATTAAAGGTATTTTAATTGAATCATTTATCATGTAGGTTTATGGTGATAACACCGGCTGGAGTACATCTCGAAGCTAAAAAGCATGGCTTGAAAGGGACTTTAAAGGCTTTGCGAGATGTTGCAAAAGCTTTGAAGTTTTCATATGATCGTCACATTTTTCATCGTGATGTTTCGTATTTAAATATTATTGTTTACGAAAAACAAGGTTATCTTATTGATTGGGGTGTGGCATCGACTGTTTCTGAACTAATAAGCGCACCATTGACTGGAACTTATCTCTTTTCTTCTTTTCCGGTATGTTTATTCACGTATTATTTGTGCACCGATATATATAATCATACTATTTTGAATTTAGGTTCTCATGAGCTTTAAAACCGGAAAACCTCACACGTATTCAGCTATTGATGAAATCGAATCTTTATTCTATGTATTTATGTACATAGCTTGTGATGGAATTGTCAGTTGGAAAAAGCATTCGGATTTATCAACAATCATCGCAATAAAGTACAATGTTATGTTCTGTCCACAGGAATTTAATAGACACTTGGCCAACTATGCTCATAACGAATTCCACAGACATTTATCAGCATTTCATAAAATAATTTTTCCATATGGTAACGATCTTGAAAGCAGAGAATTATCGATTGAGGAAATCATTGAAATTTTCGAAAATTGGATAAATGAACTTTAATAGATATTATTTGTAATATTATTATTAATGTCTTTG